ACGCACCCGGTATTTGTCATTTATTGCAAAATCTTGCACTTACACTAACTTGATTTGTGTAGTGAATAAAAATTTGACTATTAACACGTTCATTTATGAAACGTAGAATGAGTCGTTCGCTGTGTCGTAACGCTTAAACACTGGTCACTTAACACGCAATATCGCGTGAACGAATTTTTAGCGGCGAAGCACGCGATATCGCGTTAGAGATCACTTAGCGGTGGCAATTGAAACGTGCTAACTCCTAATTTGATTAATCTTTGCCAAATACGAAAGTATTTAAACGTAGTGCTTGGGTTAAATGCTCCATTTGCCAGAGACTAGAGACGGCCCTGACTAGTCACACTCAATCTCTTTTTAAATACTGACGCAAATTTACCAGTAAAGTGGGACGCATTGTTCTCATAGAAAATGACTTCTCCGTTCATTTTCATTACCACACGTTATGAAGCTTGTTTTTTGAAAATTGGAACACCTATTGATGAAACATTATAGGCATCCTGAACTACGTAAGTACCTTTCACGTGCAGTAAAATTTAACTTCAATTCATCGTTAGTGGAAGTTACGTAATCAGAAGCATATCGTCGTTCTTAATATGTAGATGAATTTCCGCAATATAAATACATATTTCTTTTATAAAATATCTAATTTCCTGTATCAAGCAATTTTCAAGAATTTTTACTTCAGAGAATTGCTAAATGCCTTATGGTTGCATTGTATGCACTTTACTTAATCTTAATTTACTTTAATAATTATTATATATTTTATCCATAATGCGTTTGATAATTTGCTTACATAATAAACAAATTTTTCTTTAATTAAGATTTTTTAACTTTAAAACTTTTGAATATATTTTTCAAATTTTATAATTTATTTTTTATTATTTGTCAGGTTTGACATTTTAAATATATCTACACTTATTAGGAAATTTGAGGCCCAAAGTAACAAAACTTATACAAGGAGTATAATTTTTAAACTAAGGAGTTTCATATTGGAAGAATAATTTTTGAAGGAACAGTATGAACAATATGAAATACAAAATTACATTAAAATTGGTACTTTATGCATCATCCGCCGTTCGAAGGTTAAAATAATTAAATTACCATCATCTTTAATTATGCAACATGTCAATCTTTTCTTTTTAAATTTTGTTTAGGCTTTTATTATAGTAATATTATGGGTATCTATGTACTGTAGAATAATATTATATTAAATTAATAGTTTTGCAATAACTTAACAAATCATACTATGTATTTACATAAAGTTGCAAATATTAAAACAGAGAATATGAGTACATAATTTACCATTATTGATTTGCATTTTTTTGTTATTCGAAATCTTATTTACATTATGAGATTTTCTTCTAACACCATTTTCATGTAAGGTAAGTGACATGGGGCTTGTATTAAGTAATTAGAAATTTGTTATGTTATCCTTTAAATATTTAAAGGAAAACAAATAACAAGAACAAAAGCATGTGTAATAAGTTTTTGAAATTGATTTTATTTGTTAATGATCTGTGATTATGTAATAAATAATGACTTATAAAACTTAAATAATTTGTAAACTTAATTGGGACTTGATACATCTAATTCTGTACATTCATTATTATACTAATTAGCGAAAAATAATAGGGATTTATTGTATTACAGCTTGTATATTATTATATAATTTATAAGAATACACCTTTTATTTTCAATTTCTTTACAAAATACACATGCTCCAAGTAGTATGTAGTACTGTTTGTTTAAATATCTATGTAAATAATTTTTTTAAGGTACATTATTTTAAAACAATGAATCCATATCAGAAAAATTAAAACTTTTTTTCTCTTTTATTTACTACATTTTTTATGTGGCTATCATCCATTAGACTGTAAATTAAATTTCAACACTAATTTGAATATTTAATAATTTATCAATAACAAGCAATAAAAATGAATGAATGAACCATCCATCTTACTCAAAGTAATTTTCACCATATCCACCTATTGTATTTCTCTGGTACGTCCCAAAAGATAGACACCAAGATACCAAGCTTGGGTTTTAGGTGAAAAAACTACTGAAAGCGATTACTGAATTCTTTCGAAATTTTTACCTCGTATCTATTGCTCTAGGTCTTGAAAACAGGTAGAAATCAGCCCCTGAATTGTCTGGACTCTATGCGGGATATTTCAGCATTTCCTAGCCCATCATCGTTGAGTTTTACTGCGAACAATTGGAACGTCTTCGACATCAGCTTCGCGACCCCTACATCCCCGGGATTTCCTTGTAGGATAATATCAAATCTCACGCAATTCATCGAATACAAAGCTGGAAAATATAGGTTCTTACTATTATGGTTTTTGCATTTTTGTTAATGGAATAATGTACCGTAGACTGTTGTTATATTGCCGCGGATAGAGCTATAAGAACGGAACATTTTTTTTGTTTCCAAGTCCTTATTTGAGGGAAAGGGGAGAATAGAAACCTATTATCCTCGTAGGCTATGATAGTGGAAGAATAGCATTGGTATACTTAAAAATTCATATAGAGGTTAAGTTTAACATAATTTTCTGAGGCACCTTGTATTTGTAAGAATCGTTGGAAAATAAAGATCCTACTCCAATAATTACACTATCACTTTCTAAATTGTAGAGCCTACAGTGTAGGCGATTAATTCTCGGACGGCAGACCATGAATAGAGCCACAGTTTTAATTCAATTTTATATATCATATCATTTTTATTTTTTAAATACAATGTTCCTTTATTAATCATTGCTCCAATGTATGAAACTCTTTCATTTAAAAATTATACATTTAATTTTAGGTTAATATCCTTGTACATGTTTTGCAAGTTTGGGTCTCGATTGACTCAGAATCAGCTGTTCAACAGTTAACCCTATCGCCACTTATGTATACATGATGTTAGGGATTAAAATAAGACGAAAATTAAGAATTAAGAAAATTAAGCATTTGCGACTTTGTTTTCCAGTAATTAACATTCCATAAATTCCAGTTTAAAAATTCGAATAAAAAGCGCCTGAAACCGGTAACCTGCCCAGTACCGACGACTGAACGTCAGGTCAGCAGGGGTGCGTACAGTCATAACCAAGAATCATTGAATAGTAGAAACTTACCTCGTGCTATTTTGTTTCTCGGTACTGCAGCATTCGGCTTTCTCTTCTTGGTTATGACTGTACTTACCCCTGTTGACCTGACGTTCAATCATCGGTGCTGGGCAGATTGCAGGTTTCAGATTAAACGTTAATTACTGGAAAACAAAGCCGCAAACGCTATTTCGTCATTCTTAATTTGCATCTTATTTTGATCCCTAGAATCACCTCTTCAAAAATCTCCCACCTGTTGCCTAAGGGATGAGATGCAAACTCGGGACATCACAGTTCTTCTCGGGGAAGCTAGATTTCATCGCGAGTGCGCCTTTGAAATTTGTTAATAAAGAAGAAATTCATAATTTCTAAGGGATTTAAAAATTCATTACACTAATCTGTAATCGCTGTCTTTTTATCTCCATTACCTGTTAAAATTTCGGTGCAATTTTCTGTTTTGTTATTCGAAACACTACAACACTGCAAAGTACAAAAAGTTTAAAAATTTCTGGAATTTAATCTTTTTAAAAACTATTGATGGGAAATAAAGTGTTACTTTGGAGAAAAGGTTGTTAAAAACATTGAAAAATGTATATTCATATATTGGTTCTAATTTGCAAAAAATGAATTTTCTTAGACTTCTTCTGTTTTATGTGTTATAAAATAGGATAAATTATATTAATGTTGACACAGTACTATTTATTGATACTTCCAATTTTGGTAAAAATTTATAAGAATTACATGTTAAATATTTTTTTAATATGTGTTTATTTTTTTAGACGGTATTCTTATAAGTTCAAACGTTCAATTAATTTTTTCAGTTGATAACACTGATAAAAAATGCAATAAGCAGTGTGTTTCGACATTCATTATGGATCTTATATTTTATTTAAAATTAATATAAAATTATTACGTGTCAATTATTGGTACACACAGTTTCAATTACCATGCTAAGTGTGTCAATAATTAATCTTTGCTACCATTTTTGGTTTCCTTTTTATATATGTTTCATAACTAAAAATTTGTGTAATTGTTTTATTTTGTTTACTTATTTTTATAAATCAATTTTTATATTTTTTTATGTGTAGAATACAAACTCACTAAATAATGTAACCCTTTGAAATAGACTTACAGTTTAAAAGGTTAATCATTATATTGTTTATTTTATTTACATCTCTGTAACATTTACTATTACAAGTTTTTGAAAAGTTAATAATGAAGAGAAATACGTATTATTATTTATAAATTCATTTTTGCTGTTGCTATCAATACATAATAATTTTAAATGTTTTTTATCACATCTCTATCTTAATCCTAGGGAGACCAAAGAGACTGCTCGTCGAGTCCGTTGTTCATAAAATATTAAAAATATATTTTTCTCATCTGAAAATTTATAAAAAATTATTTTTTTACATTTATGCCTCCATGATCAGTACTGAAGAAGTGATTTGGGCTTAGCAAACATATTATTTAAAAAACAAAATAGTAAAAATGAATTGTTAGGTATGAGCCTCGGTCTTTGTGAAATTAACTAGTATTACAAATGACCCATTCAATTAATACCTGAAACGATTTGAAGTGCCTTCCGCTCACCGTAGCAAAAGTGACGCGGTATGTTTCAATATGTTCGAGCATGGTAGCAATCGAGCGGATTCGCGATTATTCAGGTGATTCGAGGTTTTACGTTCAGATTCCCGTGTACAGAACAACCGAATGAGTCCGTGTTCGTCGATAGCCATACCAGCGTGGTTCCTGGTGCGCTAGCCTGGAATATTTGCGAATGTTCAGCGAGACATCGGTGCTGGTTACACAGCCATCTATCCGAGCGAACGGTGCCATGGTCGAACGTGACCGTACGTGTGTACACGAGGGAGGCGGGTTAGCACCATTGCAATGTGGTCATTGTTTCAGTACCCCCGGATATCCTGGACTACCCTACCAGCACGGACATGGTGGTGCGAGAGGGGAGCAATGTGACGTTACGATGCGCTGCCACTGGTACCCCAGAGCCAACAGTCACGTGGCGTCGTGAAGCAGGGGGCACAATCACCCTGTCAAACTGGCAAGAGGGTAAGTAGTTCTCGCATGCTCTGCTAGCTACACCTTTGCTAGACCTTGCTTCTCACCTCTCAATTGCTTCTCCCATTGGACCTGCTCTACTAAGACTGCATCGACGCACACACACACACACGTACGCTTTCGTCTTTCCTTCGCCTGCTTACACCTCTTTCCTCCGTCTACATTGTCACTTCGCTATCGTTCTGGCCTGGCTCCTCGTATATTGCCATTTTGTTCCTGGTGAAAGCATGTTTTATCTGGCCTTTCTACCGGAGAATAAAGGCGTGACTGACGTCTCGCTTGCTTCTCTGATTGCACCAGATCTTTATTGCGAAACTAGACGCGGTAGGTGAGTTTCGGTAGCCAAAGCAGTTAGATGGGGCGTTTTATTGTGCTTGTATTACGTTCGTACACATGTTTTATGGCACCGTCAGTATTTGCTTTAAAATTGACTAGCGAGACCTACATAAAAATGTTTAATGAATGTTAGGACATATGTTAAGACTTCTTCTGAAATAAAGCAAATATAAAGCTTCACTTTAATGAAAAACTGACTTTTAAATCGGAACAAGTTAAAATGAACTTCCATGTTTATTCATACGTCAATGGAAATGTTTGAAAGTACACAAAAGAAAGTTTTTTATTTATTTGTTTGAAACTAATAGAATCCTAGTCTGCTATTTTCTGACGTCGTTTCGTGAAGGTGTAATTGATTTGAGTAGTAAAGGGTGCATCTTCGTAACCTTTGGTACGTTGTGTCATTAACATAGTAATTAACCTATACGCCGTATTTCAATTACAAAGAAGTCAGTTCGTTTCTGTGTATGTAATAATAAACTTTGAAAAGTAAATTAATTTGTAACTACAAATGAAATACATTTCCATCTCACTACATATGAAGAATTAAAAATAAAGATTTCTTAATAAACGCATTATTAGAAATTTTACGTACCTAATTATTAAGTAATTAAATAATTTCACCTGCAACAGGTAAATGTATATTTTTAATCAGTAGTATACATTCGCAATCAAAGTAGATTTTTCCTGGAAAAATGGCGATGCCGACCCTGGCTGCCACACAGTGCCGGTTTTAGCAATTATATAATATTACATACGAGATGTAGATAGAGAGAAGAGACAATGAGAAAATATCGGTATATTCGCATACTAGGGATACTAGGGACATTGCCTGACCGCGACCCCCCTAACGCTGGCACTGCTGCCACAGTCCCCTCCGCCTCCCTTGGATTTTCGGGTTCCACGGTGCCGAACCTTTGCTGTAGGCCTTTTCCCCGAACTCTCGACCGTCTCTGGAGACGGTCTCGAAAAAAATGACAATACATATAGGGGAGAGGATCCCATATACAGGGTGGTTCGAAATTCATAGTATAAATGCGGTCAAGGTGATTCTGTGGCTCAAAATAAGTCGAAAATCAAGAATAACAAAATTGCAAGGGACGCTTTGTTTCCGAGAAAAATGCGTTTGAAAATCAGTTTAAGTGCGCTTGTATTTAATTAATAACCGATGTTACCAATTCGACTACAGAATGTTGCTGTGACTGTTTTTACACATTAAACATAATAAATAATGGTAATAAAGTAACCATCGTATTGTTAATTATATTTCGAAACGTATCACTTATTATTGATGAAAAAAGACAGAAAATAGATCATTTTTTAACGACAAAAATAAACAAATAGACGAACACAACAAAAATGTGGTTAAAAAAAGTCTCCGTACAGAGAAGAATTTAACAGTTTATTTTTAAGAATTTTGCAGAACGTTTATAAACAAATCGAGGACAGTACCTTAAAGTCATGAGTAAGTTAGTTTCTAGAGTGCTAATAGACAGAAAAGTTCACAATTTTAAATTTTAAAGTTCGAGAGTTAATTGTAAATTACTTGTAAAATAAATTGTATAATTTGTAGAATTGATATTTATTTATTATTCATATTTCTCAGTTACATATTTAATAACTAACAATTGTATTATTTTTTTTTCTAAATCACTTTTGATAATAATATCGTTAGAATTAAGATTTTAAGAATTCCTGTTCCCTCTATTTCGCCATTCTCCCTAAGGAAGTCTGATTTGATCGCGATTATACACTTAAGTATTATATTAACATTATTGATTTGATCGAAAAGGGAGCGGATAGTTGTTTCTATTTTTAATGCTGTTTGAGGCTTCTGGGTGTTTCTATTTTTACCGTATTGAAATGGTACGCAGGAGTTACTTTCATGAAAATTTTAATCTGTGCAAAATAATTTATTTACTCCATCTATTTCTAATTTTCGTGAGTGATAGGTCGTCAATGCAGAATCGACATGCCTTTCATCAAAATTGAATTTTTCAACAGTCAATCAATTTAATATTGTTGTGTTCCTATCTTTAATTATTACTTGGATACTTCCCTATTATATACGTTCTCAATTAATACTTCGATACTTCAATTGCTTGAACGAACTGCTGTAGTTACGTAGTACTACATAATTAATTAATTACTTAATTGAAACTGTATAAGCGTTTGAAAATCAGTATGGTGTCATCGTTTAGTATACTCGCGTTTCCATCGAATCAATATTTCATTATTTAAATTATTAAAATGTGGATTTTTCGGTTGATCCGAAAAATTATAATTTCGATCCGTTATTATAATTTGGTGTATTTGTTCGGGGTAACAAATTATGGCACTATAGAAATTTGTTACCATTTTAATTGCAACGTAAAAGTAATAAATTAAAAAGTAACGTGATCATCCGTACACTGAAAATTCACCACTGAACTACTTTGAACAGATTGTAAATAAAAAATGTGGACCTAATAAACAACAAAAAATTTCACCACAATTACAATTTTCAACAAATTAATTATAAATATGGTGTTGTCTAACAACTTTTATGGCCTGCAACGAAAAGAATAAAATCTGAATATGTAACTTATTATGTGTTGTCAGCGTGCAATCGCGGGCACGCACGGTGTACGTTTCGTCATATATCTGCTTATGTCAGTGTAGCATACACCGTTGAATTCAGAATAAAATACGTAATATTTTTAGTTACTATAAAAGTGTACAATTTTTTTAAATATCCCAAGAAACTTTTTTTTTCAAGAAGAAAAACTTTTTTATAAATGTTCTTAATGTAAGTTTATAGCGCTCATTGTGCCATTAAACTTTTACCTAAAACATTTTTGTCTATCTCTTGTACTTTTAAGAGATATACAGGAAAAAGTGGAAGTGCCGATTTCACTTTGAGGTTTGTTTTCACACCCCTAAGGGGCGAATGAGGACGAATGAAGCATGCCGTTATTTTTATCTTGGATCACTCTATAAACCCACAAAGTTTCATTCAAATCCGTGACTGACGGTTCGCGGTGTTCCCTTGTAAGGAAGAGTAAAAGAATGAAATTTTTCGTTTGTTTCCTTGCGTCTCACATTATACATATCAATTTGTAAAAACTATTTGTTGAATATTTATTACTTATTCCATAGATACACTTTTTCTTCCGTTTTAATATTTATGTGGGTAAAATTTCAGCCAAAAATGATTTTCACAAAGAAACATTACAATTTTAATCTCCGCACCTTTAAATGTGATTAAGTTCTATTGTGTTTTTAAGTGGCCTAAAGTTATACTATTTTAAGGTCACTAGATTTAGTTAATTTTTTTTCGTTAGGATATAATACACCCAATTGCTCATGGATTTTTTACATACATGTAAACATACTTTTTTTATTTTTTATTAACTATTATTTTATTAGATTTTTTATTAGGTCATCAACTTAACTTATTATTACTTTTTTTTATTTCATTCACTTTAACTTTCGGACGGCGTACCATAGAGAGTTCTAATTTTAATTTAATTTTGTATTTCATATCATTGTAATTTTCTAAATTTTATACTGTTCCTTTATTAATCATTCTCTCAACATATAAAACTCTTTCGTTTAAAAATTATATATTTAACTTTATCTTTGTTTTATAGGGTTTCGATCGATCCAGACTCCGCTGTTCAAGGATTAATGTTTTGATTTACTGTTATATTCAATGTTATTGTTTCGTTACTTAGTATATTACTTTATTGTACTTTAATATTTTGCTATTTTGGTCCAATATTTTTGCGTAATATTGTTTGTCATTTTGAATACAAATTCATTTACAATTTTGGATTATTATTATTATGATATTAGCCAAGCAATACCAGGTACTATATCTAGTATAGAATAAAATATAGATTAAAAGAATATATATTTATATTTCTATAAATATAAATTGTGGGATTTATATGATAATAGAACAAGCTTCGTTCTTTCAAGATGCAGATTTATTTATACTACTCAACAATATAATTTCTTTAGTAAAACTTTCTTGAAGTAAGTTTAATTTAAAACACTAATTTTAGACAAGTGAATGAAATATCACCCATGAGAATCTTTTGTGCAATTGTTCCTAAGGAGTATACGTTAATTGCCATTCGTTGCCCTCGTACGAATTGCTCGTTTGGCTCTCCTTCGTCCGCTCTTTGCCCGATACACCATTTCTCCAATTCTCACCCACTTCCCTTGACAAGAACGTGCAACTGTTCAGGGTCGTTTTGTGACTAATTGCACACGGAAGTGCAGGGGGCGTTTCGGATGGAATGATGTGCAGGTGCGTAAGTAAAAGGGTTAGGCTAACCCTTCTACTTCTCTTCTCATCCCTTCGCTAGCCTTTCCGACTTCCATTTTCTCAATTCCCCTTGTCGTGACGGTGCTAGAATTTAGCATTAAAACTTTGAACATAGACACAGAAAAATCACTGCTTCTCCGATATTTTTTCAGATATTACTTTTTATTTGACAAATATTTTTAGTGCTTTTGTTATCCTTGTTTAAATAAAGTTGAAGCATATGTTTTTACAAATCGGTAAGAAAAAATGGTTTTTGATCATTGGCGTAACTAAAACATGTGAACTGGCCTCCTCATCATTTCAAAATTTTATTATTAAAAAAATTTAAAGATTTTATTAT